AACATGGTTTGAAGTAGACCTCCCGAACCCCCCCTCTGCGTCCGTCTGCGTCTCTCCTCGTTCCCCACTATTTCCCCCCTCTCGCGCGAGATAGTGGGGAAAGGGTGAGAGCGCAGAGGGGGTGGGGGGTTAGGGGGTTTAGGGGGTTAGGGGTTTAGGGGGGTTCGGGAGGTCTAGTTTGAAGGATTCGTTGCAGACTCGCTGTTTAAACGGCGTTCGAATGGCATAACTATCATTACCGATCCAATGCTTTGGCTTCGAGTGAGAGGGGGAGTTTTTTTGGATGCCCTAGAACTCTGCACAGTAAGAAAGAATTCGCAATCATCCCATCTTTTCAGGCTGGCGTCGTGAATGTTCCGTGATCCCGCACACGACCGACATGGACATTGCTACGTTCGAGGATGAGTTCCCGATGGCGCTGGTCAACGACTCGATCAATATTCGCCGGAAACCATTGAAGCTCTCCCGTATCCTTGGCCGGGTTAGAAAATTCTGGTCGTACTTACTCTTAAGCGGCGAAGAAGCCCTGGTTGACCTAGAAAGTATCCAACCACGGCGGGCGCAGAGCGTCAACTCGTTAAACGCAAATTTTTCCAGCCAGGCGACAGCTACGAGGCGACGTTCAGCCTGGACACCGAGCGCGGCACCACCGTGAACATTGACCTGTTCACGATGTATCGCGACCAGAGCAGGCGCCGCTACTACATCACCATGGTCTACAAGGTCTACAAGCCCGCCTTCTACGTGTTCAAGCAGCTGTCACATCTGCAAAAGTTTCAATCGACTTATCCGTGGTGAGTGCCGGCTTGATTATTCAGGTGTAAGAATAAAAAGCACCCCCTGCCCCTAACCCGCCTTCTCGGTATTTTTGCTTATTTTGTCGGGATTTTTGCAACGCCATTCGATAGAGCGTCGAAAAATATAGTAAGAGTTTTAATTTGAGCCTATAATAATGTAAAATAAAAAAGTTATAGCCAAAAACTTCCGGCTGGGGGGGGGTAAAGTAAACCGTAGCCGAGTAGCCCAAATCCACGTGGTTTTGCAATTTTGATACACACGGAATATAAAGGTTCGGCGCTGATCTGTGCACGGCCGATCTGCACGGCCACCTCTTCCATGTCCCCTGCAATCCAGAATTGATTTTGGAGGTCTGTCTGAAAGCTTGATAAATTGAACACCAAGAAATCTAGGCTGATTACGGCAAGAATTGGCGCGTCGACCAGAACAACAAGGATTACACCTGGGGCAGCAACACCATCAAAACTGGACAAATTCCGGCCGCCGAAGCGTAAGTAGCTTGATGAAGAGTGGACGAGGAACGAGCTAATTTTCCGTTTTTTATGATATTTTTGTCTTACAGCCGCGCCTTCCACCGCTCCTTCTGAACACCAAGTGACGAATTGGCCTACGGTTGCGAGCATCTCATTTCCCTGAATATTCGTTGAAAGCAGATAAATGGATTCGAATTTCAGTGGAATAGATTGCAACACTGACACAAATTAAACTTCCGTGACCGGCCGAGTTTAAATAATGGTTTGCAGCGAATCAGGTTTAGCATTCATATGCATTAAAATATACCGTACTCCGGGAATTCGAGAAAGAGAGAGAGAGAGCGAGAGAGAGAGAGAGAGAGAGAGAGAGAGAGAGAGAGAGAGAGAGAGAGAGAGAGAGAGAGAGAGAGAGGGAGAGAGAGGGAGAGAGAGGGACAGCGTGCGAGAGAGAGAGAAACGTCCAATTCATGGTTCCGGACGGGATCCAAATGTACCCGCCTTACCGATGGAGCGGTCATAGTACCCCCTCCGCTGCCCATGGCATTTGATATTTTTTATTCAAGAAATTTCCATTACATTATTTCGGGCTGAAATTGGTTCTCCTGGTAGATTTTTCGACGTTTTAGCGAATAACACTGGCAAAATCCCACAGTAAGTGCAAATTTTATAATAATGAGTGCCACGCGTTAATCCCCCCCCCCGCACGTTATCTTATGTTTATCATGTTTTCCCTGGCCAGATCCGGAAATGGTAAACGATATGACTACCGACATGAAAATGTTGCCGACTTTATTCAAAAGACACAGAATTCGTACATTCAACCGGGATTCACAAACGAAGAGAAGAAGAAGCAGGTAGAGGAGGACAGGTCAAGTTGTTGAGTGCAACGTGCCCGAGAGCTCCACGATCCGCGTACCCGCAGATACTCGGGTAAAAAATCAACGCCGGGTCCCGCAGCACGGCGTATCGAACAGCGTTCTGAGCACTTTGGTCGTACCTGAAATGGAATTGGATGAGGAATACCGGCAAGCGGCAACTGCCGAGGGTCAGAAATGTGGATGCGAAAACGATAACGAACCGATGGCAGCCCCTTTGCCGGTTTTCCCGCTTGCAGTAACGAGTAGCGGTCGGTGACGCAATGCAATCCTTTGTTAGCGCGCACAGCAGTAGCCTGAAGGAGATGTAAGGATGCCCAAATGTCAGGTTGAACAAATGTTCCATGGCCTAGTAAAATTGTGGATAGCTCAATTCTGGACATGCGACACGCCATTTTGTAGCTATCTGTCTGGGACGTTTCTGGAAGCGGTCCTAAGCCCCCAAAATCAAGGAGCGCGACGATACAGGTCAGATCGGGTTTTTTGGAAAAATTAAGAAAAGGCGTTTTAGCGTGTTGTCTCTGCATAGAGCTATGGCTGTGGTTCAGTTTACCCCCACCCCCGCCCAGCCGGCCGCCATCTACCGTAATTCGACACCCCCGATGTCGTAAGCCTGTAAAATATACCAAAATGCTTGCACTTTAAGACGTTTTGCATATCGATACGGTTTGCACCCTAGACGGGGCCAGAGTCAAAAAGCCGCGAAGCGGGTTTTCAACGCTGTTATTTTACTAAAACAGTTCTAAAACACCCGCTATTATGTTCTTAGGCGTTTCAAGGCTTATACATGAAGTACCCTGGACATGTTGTTATAAAAAGGCCGTTACCATTTGGCAGCCAGCTTTGTCGTTCGACTCGGGCGCATGAAAAGGTGCGCGGCTCCATTTTGTTTTTGAGCGGCCAGCTTCGGCGGATTCGGCAGATATTTGAACATGGCTGGAAACGGTTTGATTGATATGTGCAGGGCGTTCCAAAAAGCAACGTTTTTTTGGGTTTAACGTTTTTTAAACGTTTTTCGGACCGGCCGCTTGGCATCTACAAGCTTCATTGACATCCCAGGCTTCAGAGAGCTAGCAAATGGCGGGAAGCCTAGTTACATACCCGGATCGGTGAAGTCAATGTTCATGAATCCAGTGGAGCCCTGCATCAAGTAGTCGGGCGCCTGCAAATGCCGGCTACTGTCAGACCGGAAACATGCCCTCAGCCCCCTTCTAACGATTCGAACTTTTTTCTCACGACCCGCCGTTCTTACAAGCTAGCTAATCGTGACACCAACCCAGAATGACCAAAACTCTCCCTGTCGCTCTCTCTCTCTCTCTCTCTCTCTCTCTCTCTCTCTCTCTCTTTTCTCTCTCTGTCGCTTTGCCTCTCTCTCGCTTTCGCTCACCTGCTTCCCCCTTTTCTAGAAAAAAAAACTGGCTGACCGTGCCATTCTTCACTTCTTCATAGAACGTCCTCACACATTCCACAGTCTTGAAGGTCACTGACGTGTCGATCATCCAAAACGGGCGTCCAGCAGCCATCATTTCCTACAATTTCATTGCTTTCTGCTGAATGCCCCATTTGATGCTTGACTGAGGAAGGGAAACCCACAGCCATGATGAACAGCTTGAACGCGTAATTATAGAGATCCGATGTGTATGAGGGATAACTGGAGAAGTCGAAGCGACGGATGGTCAGGTTGCAGACTCGTGACACCTCAGCCTCCTAGAATTACTCGGTAAAAGCCTGTCCCTAGGGTTGTTATATGAGTTGACTTGCAGACACTTTCGTTTTTTTTGGGGCGGGGAACGGGTAGAGTGGGTAACCCCTAGCCGGCACCCAACTTTTGTATCTCGGCTCCCTGTTCACCTACAGATGTTTAAAGTATACCAAAATGTTCGCCTTGCTCTGGCGAGCCTTTGGTATACTTTACACACCTGTATATCAACAGGGCGCCGTGATACGGTAGGTGAGCTACGGTTTACTTTACCCCCCAGCCCGAAGTTTTTGACTATAACTAGTTTATTTTACATTATTGTAGGCTCAAATTAAAACTCTTGGTATATTTTTCGACGCTCTATCGAATGGCGTTGCAAAAATCCCGACAAAATACGCGAAAATACCAAAAACTTTGAGACTCTTCGGCTGTGGGGGAGGGGGGGGTCAAGTAAACTCTTACCGGTAGGCGGGTGTCGGCTGGGGGGGGTAAACTGCGGTTAAGCCCTAATTCCTCACCTCCTCTTTTGTCAGCCCCATATTGTAGAAGATGATTCGATTGTTCGGGAATTTCTGGCGAAGGTCACGCAAGCTGCGACGGGCCTCCCGAAAATGGTCGCTGGACGCGTACATTGCAAACACGACGTCATCTGCCCTAAAGCAACGATGAGTTGATCTACATCTGATAGGTATTTCACGCAGTCAGACAGTCGAATGCCTGACTGTGTGAAATACCTGTCAGATGAAGATCAAGGAAATGACCAATAAAGATTTAGAACTTCAAAAATTTTCAAAATATTTTTGAAGCTTTCTAGCGCTCAAAAAAAACTACTAAAAACACTGTAAAAATACATAAAATCTCGTCCACAGGTGTAGGTGGAACACAAAAAGTGGTTCCCCCCCGCTATCAATCGAAAACCGAACCAATTATACCATACCCGAAATTCTCGGCTCGCGCACCGTTGATATGGCGCTGAGTGAGGCTGAACCGTTGGAGATAGGGCAAAAATGAATGAGAGAATGGCTTCCCAGCGATTCCTTCTACCTCCAGAGACCACTGTAATGGCAAAATCGTCAATTATCAGTGATATTGATGGCTTACCGTCTCCGGATCGCCATCATCTAGCAGCGACATCAACGCGTAGCATAGAAGAAAGACAACCGCTGCAGCTAAGCCGAGAACCCGCCCAAGCCGTCTCATTTCAACAATGATGGGTGGGACAATTGGATAAGCAAATTCTGCCCGACTACTTATGCAAATTGTCGTAATGCAAGTGGGAGACGGGACGGAGGAATGATGAAGCGTAGAAGGAAGAAGGCAGATCCAAAATACAAATCGCATACAGGGTCCTCCAAGAGTTTTCACGTGCGTTTTGGCAGACATCATCCAGTTTACCCCCCCCAGGCATCCGACCGCCTACAAGCCGACTGTATCTCGCTGTCGTAGTGGCCTATGAAGTATACCAAAATTCTCGCCAGAGCAAGACGAACATTTTGGTATACTTTACACATCTGTAGGTCCACAGGAGACCGAGATACTAAAGTTGGGGATCGGCTTAAGGGGGGGGGGGGGAAGTAGACTGAACTCTTACCCACCATCTAATCGGGGCCATGAGCGCACGGCGAACGGAGGCGAATGCATTATGTAGTTTTTTTCTTCTATCTGATGGTAGGATAGGCTGCTGATTTTCTTTCCACAGTTTTGGGGCGAGTTTCACAATTTTCTGAGGTTGTTTCTAATGTTCATTCTAAGGTTAAAAAGCCCTCGTGCTATTTTACCCTTAAAAGTAAGCTTTTGGAAGCTCGGCTGGCGACAATACAATCCTATATGCGCACAATGTCCTTTTTGAATTGCGAGAATTGGTCAAACTGCGCCAGCAAAATACAGCACGGCAAAATACAAGACGGAGATACAGCACTTCCGGAAAATGGTCAATTTACATTTGAAGGAATTAGCATTCACCTGAGGGTTTACGAGGGCTTCCCATCACAGAAGGATCACCAGTTGAATGGCCGGGTGGTAAGCGGCCGGCTTGTTAGGATACTGACCAGGGTTCGAATCCGTTCACGACTTTATTGTTTTGCGTTTTGGACTTTATAAAAAAATAGTGTCTGTGTGTGTGTGTGTGTGTATATTTGCATGCAACTTCCGTAAGTATGTACCGGACCTACAGCCTCAGGGGAAGGTTTTTAAGGTACGTATGATACGTCATTAGGTGCGTAAGGGTCCCGAGATGAGTGCACACATATAAGATTTAGGAAAATCTGCTGTTTTCGCTATTAAAATTAAGTTTTTGTAAAATATATCGAAAAACCTCTTTGTTAGGAGGCAATTAGCATTGGCCGGAAGTGGCCGTAGCCTATAAAAAGGGAGGGAGGGTGCGCTTTTCATTTTTTGGTGATCGGGATTCGGCAAGCCCTATGTAAAGTCAAATTTTCAGATGTCTTAAACGGGTCCAGTAGACCTCCCGAACCCCCCCGCCCCCTAAACCCCCTCACTAGGGGTTGGTAGGGGTTTTGGGGGTTCGGGAGGGGGTT